TCAACCACAACTGTGAAGATATTTTGAATGATTACTGGGTATGGCAAAAGAACCCAGAAGACCTGCATATGGAATACCTGGCCAACACACCAGTTTCAGACTGTGAAGCAGATGATGAAGACACTGCTGTCTTCAAGCCAGTCTTCACTAGAGCCACAGAAGAACAAATGGCTCTCACCTCTGAAGAAATAGCTGTTTTGGAAACAACAGCTGAGGATTTCCCTATCTTTCCGGAAACCTCAACTGCGTTTGAAATGGTTCTGACTGAAACTATTCAAGAGAAGGCAGCCTCTCCCCCACAAGAGCAGAACCAGGAAGCAACTGAAGAAGAAGAATTTCAGCGACTGATCCAATCTCAAGTGTTCGAGATCCTCACTACTCCTTGTGAGATCTCCAATCAGACACAACTTGAGATTCTGGAAAAGTCAGCAGCAATTCCGGAACAGCCAGCTATTCCAGAAACAATAGAGCAAGCTGTTGAAGTGCAAAGGCATTCTGAAGAAGCTGAAAAGGAAACTCAAATGGCAGAAGTGGAGGTCTCTCAAACTCCAGCAGCCATCTTTGAAGAACAGAATGCACATGAAGAAAGAGACTCCCTCTCTAGGGACATATCAAACTTTGCCCTTAATGAAGCAATAGGAATATCTGAAAGGACACTGAAGGTCACTGATGAAGAAGATGTACAAGAAGATGCTGAATCTCTTCCTTTGCAACTCTTCAAAAGGACATCATCTCCTCATCAGGTAACCAATTTTCATTTCCATAGCTCTTCAACCCCTACCCTTCCGGATGAGATACCGGAAATCTGGACAAAGAAGGTCCAAGAGCTGATTGAATCAGCCCTAGCATCTCAACATGCCTCCTTTAGGCAAGAGATAGAGCTAATGGAAGCCAAACACACTCAGCTGATAGAAAAATCTGAAGAGAAACACAGCGCTAATCTCAAGGAGATAAGTAAATCAGTAGAAAAGACTCTAGAGATCATCTCTCTATTGAGTAAAACTGTGAGCAATACGATGGAAATATACACCTCTGACAGTCAACTGCAATTCAATGAATTCAACAAAGTCAAGGAGCAAATAGCAAATGTCACAGTTGGTCTACAAAAACAGATGTCCCTTCTCCAAATGGACATCAGATCAGCCCTAGCAATAGCTTCAGCAAATCAGGTAGTAACCAAAGATTACTTGAAGGTGATCATTGACAATCAAAAGGAAGCACACAAGCTGTTCAGACTTATTGGTGCACATACTGGAAACCGCAAGATGGAAGTAATTCTCCAACAACACAATCCATCTCCAATACCACAGCTCCCAATTGCAGTCAACAAAGGAGAAGCATCTTATATCCCTTCTCATCTGAACATTACAAATTTAATCCTTGAAGCACAGCAAAGAAATCCGGAAAACTCGGCACAGCACCTATCCAGCTCAGGACTGGATGGAACAGAATTCATAGGTGCAGTTGCTGACCACTTCTCAGATGCTACTCAATCAGAAGAAAGACGTGAAAACTTCAAGCGCATCAAAGAACTGTGTGGGAACATACAGGGCATCAGTGAGGTTGCCGGATCTTCAAAACGCAAAAGGAACTGAAGGTTCTTTTCATCAAACCAGGGGGAAAGTATGTGAAAACACTGTTTTGTTTTGATGAAAAACCTTCTTGTTTAAACATTACTTGATTGGTTTAAACATTGTTCATAAGTATGCTTATTATACTTGATTATGCTTATGACTTTCTGAAGCGCATACATTCAGGGGGAATGTGATTCAGGGGGGAACTTAACTAGTTTTTGGCTAACAATTGTTTTTGGCTATGAATTATTGATGAGCTCTAAGCAATGGAAGTCAGATATCTCAGTTTTGGTACTAAAATTGGAAATCTCCGATTCAGGTACTTTACAAAATCTGCCTTCTTAAACTAAGCTTTAATCTTTAATTCATTTCCAACTAGCTCTGAAAGTACTGGTCCTTAGGATTTTTATAATGTACAGGACTTTGGAAAAATAGTACCACTTTTCTTTTAAAAATAAATAAAAAATTCATATTTGTTTTGGTACTACCTCGTCCTAAGTAGAAATTAGAACTATAGGGAATGAAAAATGATAGGTTTATTTTGGGCCTTGAGAACCCAATAGGAATAATTTCCCTGTAGTACATAGCTTTCTTTTCTTTTTTTTTTTGGGCCACTCTTTTGGGCTTAGCCAAACTAAAACAGTTACGTTTCTCAAACCAAATGAAACTGGTTTTCAATTTGGAACAGTTTCAATCCATTGGTAACGGGTAAAAGATTCCTTTTACTTTTCAACTTCTTGGAAGTTGAAACTCCTTTACTCTCACCGTTCCAACTACCCACTTAATGGAACCCGTGAACCTCCTCCTCCCCTATTTAAATCAAGATATCCCAATCCATTTCCGTCACAAACAACTCTCTAAATATGAAAGTCCTCAAGTTTACTGTCTGAGAAAAACACCAAGAAAATGTCCTTAATGGAGAAATTTTTCTTTCTCACCCTCATAGACGGCAATGGAGAAAAGCCTAGTGAGAAGGAAAGTAATTCAAAGTTTATGGTGCAATTCTCGGCAGTAGAGAAAGTTTATGGTGTAATTCTCGTATTTTTCAGGATTATACCATACACTTTCTCTGAAACAACACTCTCTCTATTTTTCTTTCTTTTTATTTTTACCTTGATCTCTTTCCCCTCCGCTTTCCTTTCTTTACTTTTTCTAAATCTTTTTGAGCAGTCATCCCAATTTTCTTACAAGTTTTTTTGGTGGTACCTCTGCTCCCTTCTCCCAAGCATTTTCTTTAAAATTTTTCCATAAAATTCTTTTTCAAATTTTTTTTTGTTTCCTTCATCTTTAAAAAAAAAACTTTATTTTATCTTTTTTCACAATCAATTCTCTTTTCCAAAACCTTTTTCTTTCTTGTCATTTTATCTTCTTTTGCTTTCTTAGTTCATTTTTTTTTGAGAGATGTGTTGCTTCCTAGATCTTGGTTATCCACTTTGGATAATAAAGATTTATCAAACGCAACGCCAACCGCTTCGCCAAGCAGAATCTGCTGCAGCTGAAAACGGTCAATGGCGGAAGATATCACAAAATCTCAAGACAAGACTTGGTTTAGGAATTATTGTAATTTGAATTGTATCAGTTTAAGAGTTTTTGTTAACAAGCTGTATATTATGAGAAACTAAAAGAAAGTTATAAAATTAGTTCTCAGTACAGCGACCGGAACTCTTAAACACTTGTCTGTCATCATCAAAAAGGGGGAAATTGTTGGGAAAAATATTATAGATTTTGATGATGATGTATGTATTAAGGACTTTAGGTCTCCCCCAATATTCAATGTAATTTTTCTTTTTAGAAATATTGTCAAAACCGAGCTCTTGAGATTTCCAATAAAAGCTGTGATATTTCTTTAAGCGTTTTGATGCCTGAAGACTTAATCATTTTTGGAGATATGGAAATTGGATATCTTGATCGGAAATGTCAGAGACAAGTAAGGATTTCTCAATCAGATGAAAATCCTCAGATCCGGAAGAATACATAAGAACCGGATGTCTCGCTACAACCCGCTGAAG